CGAACCTGAGATAAAGTAAAAATTATTTAATTAATCTAGTATACAGTTTGTATTACAATGCATAAGTTGTATCTCGTTGCACTGCCTGCCTAAATCACTATTTAGTCAAGATTATTCTTTATTTTGTGAGTGAAATTTATTACAAACAAATATATATAAATATTATATTTCCTCTTTATAATATTTATGGAATATATAGATACAGGTATATAGTATAGAAAATTTAAAGTAAATACCTAATATAAAATGTTTGTACTTAAACATATTACGCCATCTCCAAATGAAAGGGATAAGGAAGAAGCAGACAATGAATAATTGAATATTTGAATTTCTTTCGGTTTCGAAAAATCTTTCTCTTGTGTATATAAAAATATTGCATGGTTATATATAAATAAATACAGATTAATATCAGTGAATTATTTTGAGTACACTAATATCTATCTATGTACCCATGTGTGTCAATTTCCTCAGCCCGATGAGATTGATATGCATTAAGAAACTTACTTTCAACTCCCTTTCATGCGGTCTCGGTGAATTCCTCTGATTATGGTTTATTTGGTGACTGTTCATCGGCTGGTGGCTGACAGTCGCGTGGTGGTTCATGTTGAGCGGCTGGAGCGGCTGGTGTGGAGTGTGGGGCTGGTGCATCTGATGCTGGTGAGGCTGGTGGGGTTGCAGGCCCTGGTGGGTAACAGGCGCGTCGCGACCGACGCCCTCGTCTGAACTTTCGCAGGATTGCTCTCCTGATGACTCGCCTTCGGACCGCGCAGACTGTAACAAAATGTATTATTAGTATTATTATATGATACTATATTAATATATTTTTATTGCACTATTTAAAATTCCATATGGCATTAAACTCGCCAAATATATATTACTAGTCTTTTGTAGAAATACTGGTACAGAAACACTAAGTATTGTTCTAATTAGTTAATATAATTTATTTCTAATTGAAATAATATAAAATGTACTTTATCATTATACATATATGTTAATGTCTGTAACAAGAAATATTTATTTTATTATTTATTGTACAATAAAGTTTAAAGCCATATGCCATTCTATATCAATATATATTTTCTAGTATTTTAATGTACCTAAGTATATCTATAGATATTAGATACTCTAAGTAGTAATAGCTATAAATGTAACAGTTTAATAATATAATTTAATTAGTTTTGTCTAAACATTAGTATTAGTACGTATTAATAAATTATTAGTAGTTATTGAAAACAGCAGAATATGATAAGATTTAATATTACAACCATCTGTTACTCAAAGTAAGTAATATTCTCACGTCTACTTATAAGTTTCCAATCCTAATAAATAATGATTAGAATTAGAAAACGTATTATTAAATGGGAATGCATTAGAATTGTTTATTTTACAAATATTAAGATATATGTACCAAATGAAAATTATAAAATGTAGTAAGTATATATTGTTCAATACTAAAATTAGTCTTCTCTTTTATGTTCTTGTTGAACAAGTATACCGCTGCAGCTTGAGATGTCCATTTTTCTCATCCGAATATTACTTACACAATCACAAATACCAGAATACCATGCTATTAATGCGATACCAATTTCGGATTTCCTCTCCACGAGTAATATGGAACAGTAACACTGTTTGATTAATAGCTCAATAACAAATACATTGTAATCTTTAGTAATTAGTTTACCATCGATTCGCTTTTAATCTGTAAATATTTATTATGTTTGCACATAATAAACACAATTTACTTTGTGGTTTTGAAATGATATTGAAACATATAAACTGCCTGAGGAATGTAATTATTGTATAATAAATACACATAAATAGGTACGCAGATACATCGTCATGTAAACACGAGTACCTACATATGAAACAGATGGCGTAACTGACAGAAATGTCGCCTGAGGACATCGTTATTGATAATCTTTAATTGTAATGTATACGACACAAAACATTATATTCAATTGGTGCTACCATTGCACCCCAACACGAGTACCCTAACTAAGTCTATTCAGTCGCTAATTTATATATGCATTTTCTTATTGATTATCAAGTAAGTTTAAAAGGGTAATATAATCTATACACACTGTAAAAGAGTCTGCCACCCATCTGTCTGTATGTTTGAAATAATATCAAAAATTTTGTTATGGTTATGAGAATTGTAAGTATCAATAGAATAATATCTGATGAAAAGAAAAATTTAGGTGTAGTCGATATGTTCAATAGTTGACGACAAATAGCTTATGGTAATGATAAATACAGTATTAAAAGGAACTAGTCATGCAATACTTTATAACGATAACGTAATAAAATAAAGTCACAATTTCCAAGTTTCCCAAATATATCAATTTCGAAATTTTTACATAGTGTGTTGTTTTCAGTCAAAAGCCACCTGTAAAACCAGTCTACAAGGCAGCTTATACTCAGCACAACTCTGTTGCACCAAAATCGATATATAAGTTATAACAAAACGCAGCGAGGGCAGGCGGCAATCAAACCGTTGCTCGAAATGAGTGCATTTTGCGCCGCCGCCGCCCGCAGCCCCCAATTACGACATTAAATTATTATTTTATTTCCATTATTTTTATTTATTATTCGCATTATTATATTGTGTGGAGTTATTATCGGTGAAATGTTTCGTTTCGATAAACGTTCGACTCGGAGCGGCACGCAAGCCTCACCGTCGAGTTTCAGGGTTCCACATCCAGATTTAGATTCAATCATATAGAAATAGCATTTACATATAATAGCTTGTAATACTAACAAAGACCGCAATCAGTTGTTTCTTTGATGTTTTAATCATCTATTCCTATAATTTTTTCGTATATTTAATGTAAACAATAAGCATAACGAGCATAATGTAGGTTTCTTGGGATACGCCTACATCATTCGTGTGTCAGGTTTATTTTATATCCCAGTAAATATATTTATATATGTTGAATTTATAATTGTTTAATAACACCATTGTTTTTAATTATATTAAATACATACATTGTTTTTGTCAACATAGAAATAATTTATTGCAATTTTAATTTTAACATATTTGTTACAGCGCAATTAGGTAACTACCTATTTTTCACTTACTTATGTATATAATATAATAGGTATATATTAGAGATATTGGAATTCACTTAAGGTCTTTTTATACTTCTTACAAATATAAAGATCAGTCTTGTGTATTTAAATTTGAGTAGTCCTTGTACAGAACCCCACTATTGTTTCATTCGGCTCTGATTACTTGCTATATTCAACTTGATTTTCTCATGGTTCCAGGCTGCTACTGGATTCCTTCAATCTTTTATTTCTTTTAAGGTGACCGCAATTTCATTTAAACGTTATATCAATAAAATGAACCACTTAACTTTTCTCCGAGTTCGTCCACCTTCGGTACATCGTACTAACGCCAAATTCATTGACCATTGTAAACAAATGCTCACTTAAATGTTATTATATTATTATCATGTGACGAACTGTAAAAACCAACAGTGGTACGCGCCGATAAGTAGGATAGAGTTAGCACGAGTCGTGTTAATGCCAAAATAAACAGAATCCAAAATACGTGTGCGCCTTGTGGAAATCTCTCGTGATTTTATAATATAATAATAACTGTAAATTGTTTAGTGGGTCGATATAATGGTACAGTTGGCTTCGGAAAAATTTATTAAGAGTGAGATCTATTATATAATACTGTCTAGTCGCCCCGGCTTCGCCCGGGTGTACATGTATTATATATATTGTATTATACATTCCTCTAAAATCACTCTATCAATTAAAACCGCTTCAAAATCCGTTGCGTAGCTGCGTAGTAATAGTAGTAAGTAGTACTAAAGATTAATACATAGGAACAGACAGCGAGAGCGACTTCATTTTATACTTTGTAATGAAATATATGTGTCCAATACATATTTACCTAAAAATTATTCAAATCATATATAACAAGAAATATTTATTCATATAGGCCTAGCCTAGCCTAAAGGCTAATGTCATATTTTTTTATCATCATCCCTAACGTGTTATGAACAAGTAGCAAAATATTGGCTACTCCATATTAAAAGTTACTTAATTATAAAGTTTTATCTAAAATGTAATTATTTTTATGTATTTATTTTAATAAATTTAATTATAAGCTATCATTGACTCTTTTATGTACATGTTAAATAATATCCTTTATGATATTGACAAATTGAGATGATAACAACAATATATCATTTATAAGTATTTTATCAGAGCAGATACTTATAATTTAATATAATAATTTTGAGTATCCTCTATAATCGTAGCGAAATTTTATCTATTTATTGACATAACTAAATATCATAGGTTTATTTATATATGTTACTAACTGTACACGGTATATACTAGTTATGTCAACAAATAGATGAAATTTCACTACGATTCACTCGCAGTCAATGTTATATGTCAACATCAGCATACATATATAAAATAAAATACGACACGTGTTTATAGTACATTAAATATTATTTATTTACTTATGTTACTGAGATTAAAAAAGATATTAAAAAATAATACTATACATTTTTGTCTGTTTGTTTGTGCATACTAATTTTTAGTAACAGCTTAACTTGGGATAAACTGTAAGTGTGTAATTAACCAATTCGATTACAGTTCTCACATGCTGTAGCAAAGTTCCCGTAACAATGTGTCGAATCGAAGTCATTCCGATTTTGTCACAAAGAAAACGTAATATAATTGATATACCATATACTATTCTAGAAACCACGAGTACGAATTCGCGGGCATAGCTAGTTATTCAATATGACCTTTGATTTCATACTAGTAAATAAGGTGGAGCGAGGTGTCACTTGACACACTGCGCGACATACTGAACTCTCATTATCGTGTAAATATACGCGGAGAAATCATGAATGTTAAATACATAACTCATATATAAAATCAGTTGAGTAATAAAAGAAAATTCCACACATATAAATCTTTCTTTTACGTACATGGAATGGCAAATAAGCTGATAGTACATATGATAGTAAGTGGTAACCGTCTAGAGACATGAACAACAGATTCACTTCACGACGCCCGTGGTACGACTCATACGTTGCCATTCTAAAGGACTAAGATGTCACGGCTGAAGGGTGAGAAAAGGCAGTACAATTACAGGATTTTACTGCCTACTACATATTTATCTTGCCTTCTACAACACTAGTATAGAACATGCGTACTTTGAAACATATATACTTTTGTAGGTTATTCTAATATAGCAGTATATGTATAACAACAAATGCAGTCCATTTGTTGTTATACAATAAGAAGATTGATACGGTTTAAAACATCAACTTAGCGATGAAAGGAAAAGTGTAAGAATGTACCCATCCAAACCATTAAACAGCCGACTCGCTTATTTTTTAGCCAAACAAGAAGTGAACTTGATGCCGTTCTCAGAAGAATCCCGAACCTATACTAAGTAAGTAGGAGGACACACCGTTGATTAACGCCTTTTTCAAATGCGTACGACAAAGAAAAATAATCCTAAGTAGCATTAAAACGAGGTTCACTTCAGGTCGTACTCGAATCATATTAATGAATACAAAATTGAAGATTTAAAGAACGTTAAGTTCGGTAGGACTACTATGATATAGATGTTAATTATAAACAGAGAAATTATTCTATAGCGAGCCAAAATATTTCTAAACCAATATTCTTGTATGATAACTAATACAGTACATTAGAAGAAGTATGAAAGTGGCATCGGTCTCAGAGAGGTTGAAGAGTAATCGTCTATCATGGTATGGACATGTAATGCG